CCCATGAGGGACCTGGAGTGCATGAAGCTTTTATCACTTGCTTATTCATTATTCAGTAAGAGCAGTTAAGGTTTCACAGCCCTGCTGTCTACTGACCAAAACCCAGAGCATTTCCACTCGAGGTCACTCTGGGTTGTGAACTCTGCTATCATTTCCACACAGCTGCTGGGTTGTTGCTGAATAATTCCAGAGCCTAAACCAACCACCAGAAGAAAAGACCAATTATTTTAGGTTTAAAATGTTTGGTTTGTTTCCCTTTTGTGTTTTACATAAGCTGCAAACATTAAGTTACAGTGGGGGAACTGATGATTTGACCCCCTGGTGAATTTGCAGGTTTGCTCACAAATAAATTATGGTAGTTTAGATTTTTATGGAGAGAGACAGAATATTAGGCAGAAATCTTGAAAAGAAAAACATGAAATAAATGTTATAAATTGTTTTGCATCTTATTGAGTGAAATCTGGGTTTTGATTCTCTACAACACGTGATTTGTGTATCATGCTGAAATCAGGAGTCGGTTTCTTCCATTCCAACCTCTCCTCCACCGTCGTAAGAGCAAAGAGCTAACAAAGGAGGTCAGGAATAAGATTGTAGACCTGCAGGAGTCTAGAATGAGCTACAATACCATCAACAAGAAGCTTTATGAGCAGGTTGGTGCAGTTATTCAGAAATATTACACGAGCATCAATCGTCCTCGGTCTGGAGCTTTGTTCAAGATCTTGCCTCATGGGGTGAGGATGATCATGAGAAATGCTGTGAATCAGATCAAAACTACACAGGAGGAGCTTGTTAATGATACGAAGGCAGATTGGACCATAGTCGGTAAGAACACCACTGGTAACGCACTACAACATAATGGAACGAAACCCTGCAGCGCTCGCAGGGCCCCCTGCTCATGAAGGCACACGCACAGGCCCATCTTAAGTTTGCCAGTGAACATGTGAGTGATTCAGAGAAGGCTCGGGAGAAAGTGCTGTGGGAACAGGAAACATCAACTCGACCCATCGTGTTTGGAGGAATGGAAATGCTGAGTATGTCCCAAAAAGCACCGTCTCCACAGTAAAGCATGGAGGTGGAAACATTATGCTTTGGAACTGGTTGTTTTTTTGTTTTTTTTTTGAAAAACCAGTTCCTTTCCAGTTCCTCCTTTCCTCAGCCAGAACATAGTCGAGTTTTCAAGCATGACAATGACCCAAAATATGGCGTCAAGGCAGCAAAGGAGTGGTTAAAGAAGCAGCACATTTAGTGGCCTAGCCGGTCTTTAAACCTTAGTCTTATTTGTGGAGGAGGCTGAAGCTTCGAGTTTCCAAGCAGCAACCAAGAAACCTAAAATGAAGGAGTGGAACAAAATCCCTCCTGAGATATGTGCAAATCCACTGACCAACTACAAGAACCATTTTACTGCTGTGCTTGCCAACAAATGGTTTCTATAAGTCGGGCATCTTTTGGAGTTTTTCCGACTTTTCTCAGAGAATTCTGACATTAATCTCAAAGCTGCGACATTCTGAGAAAAATCAATAGTTTGTTCTCAGGGGTTGTATCTGTGCAGCTTCTATCTTCCTTACCTAAACTTAAGCACGGCTGCTCTCTGTGTTGCATATGGAGTCCAGCTTGCTCCCACAGTCCAAAGACGTGTTAGATGAATGAGTGTAAATGGTCTGTGAGGCAGCTTAAGTGTGATATTTCTAACCTGCGGTGTGTTTGTGCCTTAACAGGTGGGCAAAGCCATGTCGTCCAATGAGACCGCAGCCTATGAAATCATGAGGTCGCTGGATGTCGACTATGTCCTGATCATCTTCGGAGGGGTGATTGGCTACTCAGGTGATGACATCAACAAGTTCCTGTGGATGGTGCGCATCGCAGAGGGGGAGCACCCCAGGGACATCAGGGTGAGGGAACCATCTCGCACTCTCTGGTTACATGTGAACACGTGTTCGTTCTTTTCTTTAATTTATTTTCTTTCTCCACCTTTTGTCACGGCTCACCCCAGGAAAGTGATTACTTTACCCCCCAAGGAGAGTTCAGAGTGGACAAAGCAGGCTCCCCCACCCTGCTCAACTGCCTTATGTACAAAATGTCTTACTACCGCTTTGGAGAGATGCAGGTATGTTATTGTCAAGGAGCTTTTTCTACTTCGCAGAAACTAGTCAGTGTTTCATTTGAGTTATGCTTTTGTTTCTTGTTCAGTTGGACTTCAGGACGCCCCCGGGCTTCGACCGGACACGCAACGCCGAGATCGGCAACAAGGACATCAAGCTGAAGCACCTGGAGGAGGCGTTCACTTCAGAGCACTGGCTGGTCAGGATTTATAAGGTCAAGAAGCTGGAGAACAGAGACCGGGTGGAGCACAAGCTGCGCAGCACTGACACCAACAGGCAGAAGTACACCTCTAAAAAGGTCCCCACATCCATTCCAGCTCACCGCTGTTTTGGACATTTTAGCCAAACTTACACACAAAATCATACATTTCTACTTGAACGTGTCATTTTCTTCTGTTTACAGACGGCCAAGAGGAAGCGGGGATACGTCAAGAACAAGCTGTCCCTGAAGAAGGGCAAGAAACTCACCAAGAAATCTTTATAGACGGTCCACCACCTACAGAGGCAGACTGTGGACAGGAGGGAGGAAAACGAATCTGACACACACAGCTCAACAATATCAAGCAGTAAAAAAAAAGAAGAAAAAAAAGAAAGAAAAGGAGAAAAAAATCCACCAATCGAGATTGAATAAGGAACAGCAGAGGTTCTCTGCCCCGCCCCCGCCATCATCTTGAGCATCCTCACCTGGA